CAATCATCTGGCATATGCCAGCCCCTTTAAGGGCAGAGCAGATGGAAGCTGTAGGATGGGCGCATAGTGTAGGACATTTCAACATCAAATATAGCGTCTTCTTGGAGCATCCTCTAAGGGAGAGTGTGTAGAACAGTGGCCAGCCCACAGGGATGTGCATCTCCCCTCCACACACAGTGCAAGTGACTCCTCCTAAGAGCGATCTGTCAGCACCACATGCAGCAGTGTGATAGTTCCGTCATCAGATGACATTGCAAATTATGTTACATATTTTAAATCACATTAACATGGTTTGTTAATGTTGATATTCACTAAAAGCCCATTTAAATAATGAATGGACATGATAATTTTTGTGAATATTACAGAAGGGACATGTGGATATTTTACATATCCTCTTCCTAGAATCTGACTTACATCGTTAGTTAAATGTCATCAATGAAAAGATATATCAAGTTATTTCAGGGAGGCCACAGAGTCACAATCCAGTAATTATAGAAATAAACAACATGAAGGAAAAGTAATTTAAATTTTGCTAAAATATTGTTCCATACTAGCTCTATCAGATATCCTTAAGGCAAAAATGTAATGCCACTGCTTAAAAAAGCAAAAGACAAGAAACTATTTTGTAAAATAAGAACCAGGAGAGATTATGTACAGGTGCAAATTTCCAATGATGAATGTCATTATATTGTATACCTAAAATGTGCCAATAAAATTGATTTTTTAAAAAAGAAACTATTTTGTTAAGCATGAAATAAAACTTAAATATGAAATGCTTTCCTTTACTTGGAGTCTGAACACATGCATAAATGTACATATTAACAAATTTTTCCAGAAACTTACAGATCCCATGTGTATTCCTGTATATTTATCTCCCATATTCAGTTCATATGTCAAAACTTCATTTCTACTTCTGTGATGTCAATATCACCAATTTTTTTTTTTTTTTTTGTATAGGGGATCAAATTTGGGACCTTGCATTTGAGAGGCAGGTGGCGGCACCACTGAGCTAAATCCCTGGCCCTCACCAATTTTAATATATAATCTAGACACCTGAATCCCTTCACTTCCTTGAGGTACAATTCACTACAAATCCATGTTCATTACTTGAGCCTTTGCTATAATACTGATTCTGTGTCGATTTGAAATCTGAAATTTTGTTTATTGTTATATTCATTAATTTTTATTCTTAAACATATTGCATTAAAATATTGTTTATCATGATCACAGAGTCTATATCCCCTTAATTTTATCCCTAGTCTCTCGTTACAGAGTTGCAAAGGGCACCTAAAACCCCCTCTCTTTTTTGTGACTACATATTTACTTCCTATACATGCATTAAATATCAGGAGAGATGTCATCTCATTCTCCAGCTTTTTCTGACTACTCCTATGTCTACTCATAAGACAGAAGGCATCATGTCCTCACTGGTGCTCACCTTATTTCTCTTGTTTCTGTCCCTTCAAATGTAAGCATCATATGGCAAGGAACACTCCTGCCTCATTTTTGCACCTGCTACCCCTTAAATCAGCCCTTGACACACAAGGCACTCAAGGAAGGTTTATCAGACAGTAGCAGAGCAAACAGTTCTAGAGCATCAATCCTCAAAAGAATGATTTTGATATAGTGATTGGTATAAGTAATAGTACATGTTGAAACATGGGTTCCAATCAGGACTTCAAAAAATGAAATACAATCAAGAAAAAAAAAAACAGCAGAAAATATTGCCCAAAGTCAAGATCACTGTTTCATAAGACATTTGTTTCAGACACACACAAATATACATATTATAAACACACAGAGATGAACATGTGTAAATATATATGCATTGGATCCCAACATTAAAAAAACTGTAATAGTAGTCAAAAATGTTTGAAATATATCGTTTTAGAGAAACATAAGACATATGATCCATCATTCTGATGTACCCTGCCACAGCTTAGAGAGGGCAAGCCTTCCAAAGTAATCCAAGACATTGAAAGTTTAGGGAAAGATTAGATCGACGACATGTTCAGAGACTAATCTGGGTAAATGAGAAACTGCAGAGTGCTGGGGTGGGCTTGCTGAATAACTTCTGAAGTATTAGCTAAAACATCAGTTGTGGGTTTTCATCAAATTAATAACATATACTACCTACAGAAATAACCATCACAAAGCTTTGGTGACAACAACTACCCCATGTGGTATAATACAGATTTGCCCAATCTGAGAAAAATCACAAGGGAAGAAGCTGCAGAATTTGGTATAAACAGAAACCATATGAAAGAAATAGTCACTGTAAAATCTACAAGAAAAAAAAAAGGTTTGGTAAGGAGGATTTAGAAGAAAGGGAGGGAGGAAGGAAGGAATATTCAAATTATGTTAAAATATTTTTCCATACTAGCGCTATCAAATATTCCTACTGTAAAAATGTAAGGTGGAAGGGACAAAAGAAAGGGCAGGAGGGAGGGAAGGAAGACTGATTGTCTTTGTTTGGTTTAAAAACTGGATTGAAGTATTTAATTGTCTTAATGGAATTCACCCAATATTATATCTTTATCAAAAAATGATGAGTGTTGATATAGTTTTTGTGTAAATAGAATTTTTTTTTAATCGTTAGATCAAAACGGCAGGGTTGAAATGAGTGCCCTTATCCATCCTTATCTTAGAGAGATTTCCTAAGTGCCCGTGACAGGGCTGAAACAAGCAAACAAACCATCTATGGAGCACTTATCATCTATAGCATCCATTTGTATTGCCACGGCCAGCTCCTGTTGTCTTTATTAAAACATCTTCAATGAACTGACTAAGAAACCTAACATTTTCACAAATATTGGAAGATATAAATAGCTCACTGGAAAATAATACTAGGCACAGGGGAAAAGAACTAGCAAAGAAACAGAAAGAAAAAGACAAAAAATAAGTATATTTGTACTAGGTCCCTGAAGAACTGTGATTCCATGTAGACACATGTAATGTACATGCAATTGTGATCTCATGTAGACATGTGTAGACACCCATGTACTGATTAAAAGATTCACCATCTGGGTCCTGGTGTACTTCTTGATAGCAACCAGTGGTTAGGATATAAATCAAAAGGAAATGAGTTTGTAAAAATGCTTTCTAAAATTCTGAAAACTGAACAGTTTTATTAGAATGTCCATTTTCCCAAAGTGTGTTGCACACTCTCCATGGCTGAGCATGGGCGATCTATAAATATGTCCAGAAGCACGGACCAAGATAATGTTAATTTTGGTCTATTGTAATGAGATCCTTGGGGTTATAATTAAGGAAAGAACAAGCAGAGAGCAGGGCGAATAAAATGCAGTAGAGTCACTAAAAATTGAAGGTAGCTGATATGCTAAATATAAGAGTTAATATGGTTTGAAAATGGACAAAGTAGGACTATGAGCCCCCACAACATATCGTGGGATAATTCTGTTATTAAATGGAAGGGTCTTGGCAGTTCCCCAGGTGTTTTGATTGGAATTGGAGTTAAAGGGGACTTTGCACCTGCGGCAGCCTAACACCAGATGTTCTGGGATGGTGAAATAAATAAAACACTTGACAGCAGCTGTATATGTTTCAAGGACATATAGATGTCCTTGAAAACAAGCAAGTTTTCAGGACAATTCCCTTTAACTGGTGGGATATGAAGAAAATGAACATTCCCGAGTTCTACTATGTGCTATAGGTTTGAACCTTGCCTTCACCCTAAACAACTCAAAAACACCAGAACAGTGTTCTCTGTTTCACAGAGCAAAAGAAAATGAACACAGGAGGTGGTATGACTTGCCCGTGATTGCAGGGTCACTAGAAGCACAGGGATTTTTGAGGAGCCTGGTTTCCTCAACTTCAAAGCCCACATGTGGTTTTTCTTCTTTATCACATCAGACCCTTCTCCAATCAAACTCAGATAGGCATGCCCTTCTTGCCTCTTTCCCCAGACAGTGGAAACAAATGGGCTGGCACTTAGAGCAGAAGTTGGCACAAAGTGTGCCCTAGTAAGTGTGAGTTGCTGGTGTTGGTGACTCTATCCCCTGGGACAACAGGAAGTCTCAAATGTGTTTCTGGTCTTCACATCACAGACTGACACAGGCCAAGTCAATGGTCAGGTGAATTCAGCAAAGGTGAGTTGTATTTACAAGTTGGTTTTTATTATGGCTTTGGATCAAAAAGACCTCCGCCTTGGGTTCACCATGAACTCAACGGAGCGTTGGGCCTGGCAATGAGACAAATTGACACGGGTGGATGTAATCCAGGCCAGGAAGTGTAAGGGGAAAGGAACTGCCCCCCACCAGCCCCTTCCAGAGTCAGCATACAAGATCCCTACTTTTCATCCACAGGAAGTCTGTATCAGCTCTCTACAACACTTTGAACGCAAAGGACAAAAAGGAGGAAAAAATTATATGACTTTCATGATTGGGTATATTCCAGAATCTGATCCTTTTGAAAATGTTGTATTTACATTATTTCAGACATCTTCTTAATTCTCCCATATAGGAAATCTACTCAGGGTTAATGCTGAGATTTCAGCTGCGCTAATTTCATTATTTGGTCTTTTATGATTGTAGAGAATTAACAGAGGGACAAATGACACGCAACATACACAAAAGCCAAGAGATGCTGTGTTCTAAAAGGAAAATCCATGCTTAATTTTGTTCACTTAGGAGTATGAAAATATCAAAAAAAACTTTAAAGTTCCCAGATTTTATAATTTTTCTCTTTCTTTCTTTTAAAAGAGTGAGGATACTAAGAAAACATTATGCAAGTCTCAGTAGTTGATGTACAGTATTTGTTTTGGATCTAGCAAATATACTTTTTATAACTTTTCTCTGAAATAGGGAACTTTCTAGCTCAGATTACTTGGATACTCTCACTGTTTATCCTTCTCTTTTTTGAGCAGTCAGAAGAGATTTCTCTCAGTACTTCAAATAAATAAGATATCCAGCTGAACAAACACCATATATTCTTGTGGATTACTCTGGCTTCTTAAAGAATATTTCACTTTCTTTTTTCAGAATGTAAATGATTAAAGAGACCCCATCATATGAAACTGAAGAATGAAATGTTTAAAGCAGTACAGATTCTACACAAGTTGGTATATGAAGAAGCAAAAAAGCCCAGCTCAGTAAAAGACCTCGGTATTTCACATGGGAAATTTGAATATTACTACCTAAGGTATTTTATGACATGGGTGATTTTATGACATGAAAATCAAACTTTACCATTCAAAATCAATCTCTACCACATTTTCTGGGGAAAAAGCAAAATAAAAGGTGACTTTTATTCTTTTTTACCTTCCCATTTTTAAAAAACAAAACAAAATATCAGCAAATTCTAGAGATTCTACACATTCTGAGAAAAAAAAAAAAACAGAATAATATTTTACATGGGCTTTAAAATGGTTTGGGAGACTTACCTAGTTTCACAACCTGGAAAAAAATAGTCTGGTGTTTCCGGCCAGTTTTTGAAACTCAAATCCAATCTGGGCAACACAAATTTTTTTAAAAAGAAAATGTGGATCATCGATTAACATGGGCACCCTCTACTAAAGCAACATGAAGACAGATACTTGTCTTTAGGAAACACTGTCCACACTTTGCTTTACCCTTTTCATAAGCTTTCTTATTAAAGGACTAAATCTTATCCACATCCTGAAGCAGAAATGCAGGGATCTATAACGAAAACATAAAAGGTGCATTCGATGCCTCTCTCAGTCCAGAAAGAAGAGAGACCAGAAGAACAAAGATGGGGTGCAGACAGGGGAAGAGCAAGTCATGCACAGAGCCATAGAGAGCAGATTCCTGGCTTCAACCGGTCACCAAAAGCCCCAGAAAAGCCAAACAAAATTCAACTTCCAGAGTGCGTTGGGCAGGCTGGAAGGTGACCCTCAGTGACCCCTTTCTCCTGGTCCTCACACCACTATGAAATCCCCTTGAACAAGGTCAGACCCGGTGACTTGCTTCTAAGGAGTGGGAACATGGCAAAAGCAATGAGATGACACTTGTGTACTTAAGTTCCAGAGGTCTGTGACTTCCGCTTTGCTGGGGGAATCTGTCCTTCTTGGCTTACAGAAAGCAAGCTGCCAGGCTCGAGAGGCCAACGCTTCAAGGACCCAAACACCACGGAAGAACCAAAGTCCTCAAACTACTGGCCCTCAAGAAACTTAGTCCACATGGGCTTGGGAGATTCTACCCCCATGAGATGACTCTTGCCACCTTAAGTGTAGCCTGTGAGACCCAAAAGCAGAGGGCACCTTAAGCCAGGCCCAGTTCCTGACCCATGGAAACTGTGGGGTAATAAATAAGTATCGTGCTAAACTGTTAGATGAGGGCCTCATTGTCATGCAGTGATAGATAACAAACACATAAAGTTATTATGAATTTCTACCTTTCTGTGTTACTCAAACCAGGAATATTTACCGCTCTATTTTGAAGGCCTATGGTTAGTCTTTCTATCAGCTTTACAAAACATGAGCAGAAGTGGCCACCTACTTACAGACCACGGGATCAATGTAGGAACTGGGGACAGGAGAAGAACAGGGCCATCTGTCCTAGAACTTCTAATAGCTTCTGTTGCTATTCTTGGCCGCTAATAGCTTAGAACAAAGTTTGCTTTCCCTCACGGTCCCCTTCCAACTCCCTGGTGATAGTTGCATAGGTTTAGGAAATACAACCTGTGCAAATCTTATCTTTCTCAAGGACACATTCACTTATGCATTAGTTTTTACCTCTCATTAATTCCTAATTTCTTACCACTGTTATTTGGAACCATGGATTAAGAGGGGTGATCAGCATGTATGCATATATATATATATATATATATACGTATACACATATATATATACGTATACACATATATATATATACACGTATACACATATATATATATGCATGAATGAATAAAGTAACTACAGATACACCTTTGCTTCTAGCAAATTTAGACTGCATTCCATCCCTGCCACTTACAAGCAAGTAACATAAGATAATTCTAAACTTCAGTTTCCAGCCAGGCATGGTGGCACATGCTTATAATTCTAGCATCAGAAGTCTAAGGCAGAAGGATATTGAGTTCCACGCCAGCCCAAGCTATGTAGCAAGTTCAAGACCAGCCTAGACTATACAGTGAGACCCTGTCTCAAATAAAGCAGCAAAACAAAACAAAACCTAAAAACCTACTTCAATTTCCTCATCTATAAAAAGACAAAAACGATTTCCTAGAATTTTTATAATTGCTGTGATGATGAAGTAAGTTGCTCAGCAGAGAATGACGAATGTATGGCACGTGCTTAAGAAATAACTATATTTTCACAGAATTAATATATTATTATCATTATAATCAGAGATATGTACACATGTACACTTCTTCTGTCTTCTGTGATTTTGAAAAATCCATTGCTCATATCCCCTTTCAAGGCTGTACAGCAAAACCAACTGGACCAGACTTCAATAGTATCAAACAGTCTGACTGCTTGGAGGAAGGAGAAGAAAAGGGGATGAACAAAAGAAATAAGATGTAATATGTGCACGTACCAATTCCACACAAGGACTGTAAACACTATGTGCTGCAAATATATACTAGTAAAAAATAAATAAAATGTTAAAAGAAGAAAAAGAAAGAAAAAAATGCTCATTTACAAAGAACTTTTTATCTGGAAGGAACTATAATGGACAGAGGATAAAGAAGAATAAATAAGACCGTGAACTCCCAACACAGTAAATAAAGCAGAATAATAAGACATAGAATAATACATCTAAATTAATATATATCTGGTCCGATAATCAGTGATCACCAACTAGTGATAAAATACAACATAATGAGCATTTTTATGGAGCAATAATGAAGAAGTCTAATAATCATTATACTACCAATAACAATAGTAGTAAAATGATCACAACAATAACAATACCTGCTGGCATTTCCTGAGTTTTTATTATGCGCCAGAAATGCTTCTGAGTACTTTCCAGCCTCCCCATGTCCACTCCTCAGAAATATTGCCAGTGGTGGGCGTTGGCCAACGTCACAGCAATGCCAGGCAAGGGTCAGAAACTTCAGGACACAGAGCAGGCAGGTGGCAAGACTCCAAAGCCCAGACATCAGCCACACTTCCTCTCTGAGTTTCGAAAATAAATACTTTGTTGATTATAAAATGCTCTTTTTTTTGTTTTTCTTTTCTTTTTTATTTTTATATGTTTATGTACATAATATGCATAGTCATGATGCAGAATTGGTACATATACAAAACGCTCTCTGCTACACCATCTCAACTATGCTATACCCACCAGACAGTCATTTCACAGTCAACTTGTGGGTTACTAAGGAGCTTTGTGGGTGATCCTTACTGATACTTTTTCATTGTACTGGAAAAGGGAAAAGACATCAGTGCCATCAGCATTTCTATTTTGCTCTCTGCCTTTTACTAGATCCAAAACAAGAAAATAAGACCTGCTATCAGTCCGTATAATAATCTCTCATTTAGCTTTCTGGCCTAATTTCCCAGCACATTTTTCCAACCAAAGCAAAAGGTAGACTCATCAAAAACTTCAGTAATGCTGTTTCTGGATTTTTGTTTGTTTTCTAACTGACACTGATCACAGTAGTTCTTTGAAGAAGAACTGGGAAAAACAGTTACTCAACTAAGTTAAAGGAACTTCCAGTCTGAAGTCTAAGTGGTTCTTCACCTCGCTGCTAATCATCCACCTGCCCAGTGCACAGTCCTCATGAGGACAGGGACCTTGCTAATCATTCTGTCTCTAGCAGAGTCCATGGCCTATAGTGGATGCTCAACACTATTTGTGAATAAGTGAATGAATGAATGAATGAATGCACATCAAAAGCCCTGTGTGAAGCCTTTTGCACTCCACATGCAATTGACTGAGGCAGAGTCCAGCTTCTAGCATTTCCTTTCTTTACTCACTAACACCTCAATCCTTTCCGAAAGTAGAGACGGTAGCATATTTTTAAAAATCTACACTAGATAGATTTTGTTGCCCTTCACTCCCTTATGTGGTGTGTACAGATAGGTCTGCATTTCACAGATGGGGTCACCTGGTTCAATACTCAATTAACTGAGAGGCTGGTAGCTTTGTTATAGGTTGGAAACCAGGGATCCAAAAAGATGTTCAAAATTATAGAGCTCAAACAATACCTTTGGCATGCCCTGCCCACAATTTACAGTATTAAAATACTCGTTCTTTTATGAAATAGTGGTGATGGTCACAGGTGGTGAGTTTGCTTTTCCGTTCAAAGTTAGCAGAATAAAAAGTCTGAATAGGTGTTAGTCCCCCCATTTTGTTTGCTTTCAAATTAAACTGTTTTATAAACCCACAGACAATAAATCTTAGTTAACTGACTCATCAAAGGCAGAGGAAAATTGAGGCCCAGAGAAAATAGGTGCCACATGGAAAATCCACCATCACTCAGGAAACACACGCTGGTTTACGCATGGCAAATCCTAAAATCCCATTAGATGAGGTGAACCCAGGCACAAGGAACTCCAGCCTTCACTTGGAATCTTCCTGGAGCCTGGGAACACAGTTGCAGCCAATTTATCTCAGTCTAAAGAGAAGTGAGAAGGACAAGGTTTGAATCCTATTTGCTTTTGGTAGAAAAATATTACTATTCACCTCACAGGAAAAATCAACATGTCTGGTGAGTTATACAGAAACTGATGCTCATGGAAGGAACATTCCAGAAAGTCACGGGGCAACACAAACTCCTGGCATCTGTTTAATCATGCTGCCTCCCAATATCTAAACTGCACTGAGGCCAAAAATTACTGGAAAGAAGTATGAAATTGGAGAAAAGGAAACTGAAAGGGGGGAGGATCAAAGAAGGCACCACTAACTTTAAAAAAAAAAAAAAAGCAATAAAAGAGCTAGAAAGAGAGTTATAAAGAGGCAGTGCATTACTGAAATGCCAGTGGGCCCTGAGAAGAAAAGAAACGAGAAAGATAAAACTGGGGGAATTTCAAATCTTGGTTAAATGTTCATTAAATAATTTGTCACACATATTAAGGGCGGACAGTTCCTTTCTCCCCTCTCGGGTACTCATTCAGGAACAAAGGCTGAGGCAGACTTAAAACACTATAAAGCAAAGCAGAAAAGCCATAGGCACGAGGTGCTACAGCCTCACAAAGCCTTCCCTTTGGTTTTTTAAACAAGAAAGGGCCAATCTTTCCTCAAAGCTCAGGTGTGCTGTTGATGGGGACAAAACAGGAAGCCAGGAGAGCTTTAAATAGGGGGAAGAGAACTGAGCCTGGCCCTCGGCCTTCTGTAGTTTCCCTTGGTGGGCACTCAGGCCTGGTGGCTCCATGTCCCCAGGAAGACGTGAACCGACACAGCGCCCTCCTGTGGCCAACACAGGCCCCCTCCTCGGAAGCACTGAAGTCTACCAGGAACCCTTAGAGACACAGCAATAAGAAAAGTGTCCCCTTCCTATGCCAGAAGCCAGGACAGAGATGAACATGACTCTGATATCTTTGATATCTGCACCCTCAAAAAGCTGAATTCACAGAAGCAGAGAATAGAATAAGGAAATGTTGGCCAAAGGGAACAAAGTTTCAGTTAAACAGAGTAAGTTCTTGGGATCTACCGGACCACATGGTAAATACAGTTAATAATAATGCATGCTATACTTGGAAAGAGCTAAGAGTAAACTCTAAATATTCTCACCCCATGCCCACTTACAGATGATAACTATGTGAAGTGATGATGTGTTAATTAGCTTGATTGTGGTAATCATTTCATAATGTATATAATATCAACACATCACACTGTGCACTGTCAATAGAGACAATTTTGTCAGTTGTAACTCTCAAAATCTGATGAAAATAATGATGATGATAAAAATAATGATAAATGTTTACTGAGTAGCTATCATGTTCTGAATACTGAACAATTTGTGATCTTTAATTTTTTTTTAATTTTCCTTTTTTGTTTTTTGGTACCGGGGATTGAACTCAGGTCCTTGCAATTGCGCAGCAGGGGTCGAAACCACTGAGCTAAATCCCCGGCCCCTGTGATCTTTAATTTTTACCACAAGCTAATTAAAAGGCCATCTTGTCTTCACTGAGCATCTACTATGATGTTCCAGTTGCTAGACGTTTGTGAGGTCCTCTGCCATCAACAAAAGTCCATGAGGTAGTGTCTAACATCTCTGTTTTACCCAGGAACCTTAATCAAACTTGTCCCAGAGTTCAGCTGGGATGGAGTAGAGTCTGATCCAGGCCTGTGAAGCTCTAGCACTTTTCTGATGCTCCTACTCCTCACTGCTGTCTACCTACAGGTCTTCCGGCCACACTTGCACCTCAGGCTGGACCTCTGGTCGCAGCATGTGGTCATGAGACTGGGTTCTTGGGTTCTGCCCCTGCCCTCAGGCCCTGTCCCTGTGCAGATCCCCAATATCAATATTTCTTGATTTGCACATTCTAAACTTCAATCCCCTGCACAACTCAGACTAATAACAGGGAATGCATCGGTGACCATCATTTACTGCACATCTAGTTGTTCTCCATTCATTCATTTACAAATATTTGTTGAGAAATTGCTGTATGGACCAGGAGCACCATACTGTGAAGACAAAACTTCCACTTTCAAGAGAGAGGGATACAGATGTTAAATGCAAGACTATAGAAATTATCTTCTTAAAATTACAGTTGTGCTCAGTGTCATAAAGGAGAAATTCAAGGAGCCCTCCAGTCATTCACTCATCCGTTCATGCATTCAGCAAACATTCAGAGTGCAGCTCAGGCTTCGTAGTATTCTAGGTCCTGGTTTTTACAGCAGGGCATTAGGAAGAGCCTTGGTCTCACCTATGAGACCAAAAGTCTGTCCTTGAGGTGTGGCGTTGGGGTGGAGCTTGCAGCATGGGGAGAGAGTGAGCAACAGTGTGGGAGGAGGCATGTTCTGGACTCCAGCGGTACCCTGTAAGCTGGGGGAAGGCTGGCCGAGTGCATGGGACCAGTCCAGACCAGGGGCTTCTGTTCCATGCCCACTCACTCTCACACCCTGGCATCTCCAAACGTGCCTGCTCCAAAGCCAGTACTGGACTCTTTCCTTGCTATTAGAACACACCTCCCATGCTAGAGCACAGGATGCCAGTCAACCCCTTTCCCAAACTCCCCTGTACCTGGGATAGGGACAAATGGCTCAACCCCAGCGTAGAAGCTGAGGGAAAGTCCCCGGGAGGAAGGTTCTATGGAGAGAGGCTAGCAAGGAGGGCCCTCACTCTTTAATGAGGACTCCAAACTTCATCATGTAGGATCAAATGACTGGCACTGCTACAGCCATCCTGTAAGCATGTGGGGAAAGCTAAAGCAATCACAAGGAGTTGCTCATATAACAGCCAAACCCAGCCCTGGCTGCATCAGGGCTTCTGGATATATGAAACCAAAAAAGGCCAAACCTTTATTATTTCACTCACCTTTAACTGGGTGGTAATAACTCATGATGAAAGAATATGAACTGATATGAAAATTAACCTCCGAAGTCATTTCAAACTTATACAATTAAAAAGGAAAGGGGAAACTGAGTTTTGTATGCAGGGTTCATGACTCCAAATCCTTTGCTGTTTTGCATCCTACCATATCCCCTGCAGGGGCTGGACGGCTAGTGTGTGGCCCACCCATGAGAGGTCCTGAGAGTCCACTTCTCTAACAAACCTGGACTGGCAAAAGCCAGGCAGCCAGAGAGTTCTACCCTCACTCAGGAGTCTCAAAAATGTTTAGAAGTAGTGAAGAATACACTGAAATGTCCACTTTGCAAATCGTATTTCCTTCTCCCAGTGTTAGAAAGGGCTCCTCTCCCTGCCTTGTGCACGACACACCCATGCAGCAATTAGGATGCAGACGCTTTGTCCTTGATGGCATCTATAATGTAGTGGGCAGCAGGTATTTAAAGTGGCTAAGGAGGAGAAGTGTTTTTCTAAAATACTAATTTAAAGAACAAATCAACATGTATTATCTCATTCATTATGTTTTAAATTGTGCAACTATAAATCACCCAGCCACGGGTTATTCAAGGGCAAAATTACCCAGCTCGGCTTTCCTGAAGGTTACAAGAATGACATCTCGTGCTTTTTCCAGTTATAATTTATAACTGTGCAACAGAACTAGCAATGCAGGCCCATCCATTAGCAGGGTAGCTGCACATCTGTTAAAACTCAGCACAATGACTGGCTTTACATCCACAGGAAACGAAACCCAATCGTTTCAGAAGTTCTACAAACTCCAGCCATTTTTTAATGTAAAATGATTTGGAAATGCAGCGCCCTAAAACATCTGCTAAGCTCCTGCTACCCTAACACATGATATGCTTTCTACTGTTACCTGCCAACACAAATATTTGGTTGCACAAAACACCCTAGGAGGCATGTGACAGTGCTCAGCTTCAAATTTACATGCCGATCCACACAGCGCTGGCCTGGACCGAGGGCCTCTGGCGAAGATGTTGTTTACCAGAACTCAAAAGTTTATGTGGAAAAAGAGGGGGGTGGATTTCATGAAGGTGTTGTCAAACACATTAAGGAAACTTAGCTGCACAATTAGACACGTGTGGCTGGGCCACTGTGGTGCATTTGACACAGTAAATGGCCTGGGAGTAGCTGGCATTCCATTTCCTTGAACAAGCTGGGTAAATTCTCTGTGCTTCCAAAGGAAAAAGTAAGAATAGTAATCTAGTACTGCAGCACTATTAGGAGGAATAAGTGGGAACACAGGCGCTAATAGGTAAAATATCGTGATATCTGGCTTAAACTGCCAATTTGCATGGTACATGGGAGCAAGGTAGGTTTCCAAAATCATCACCCGTGCAACAGCCGAGGCAGTCAGAATTCCCCTTGAAAGTCTCTCAGGTCACCGGGTTATACTGTATGTTGGGTTTGGTGAATTAAATACCATGAAGTAATATGCAAGTATAAATAAACTGGAGAAACTAATACATAATACACATTAAGACATACACATGTAAAATATAATTTTTGAGCATTTTAACTGCACAAAGAAGCTAGAGAGACAGTAAAGGAAGCAAAATCCACATATGAAGTGACTTTATTAGAGAAAGCTGCCAGCAAACTTTAATTTCCTTTACGATGTTTCAGGAGCAGCTGTGCTGGAAGAATCCTGCGTCTTTTTTGGAACCATATTTATAAATAACCCTATTTTCATTTTATGCATTATTTTTATTGTATTATAAATTGGGGAGAGAGGGAATAAGCATTTCTTCACCCCAGATCCCCCCGTACCCCTGTCCTAATCTCTGGATCTCACAAAGAGGGTGACAGAGTTGTGGCTTTGTCAGAAGGGGTTGCTGTGCTGAGAATGAATCCCTACGAGCTCCTCATTAGTGATTATTATACTGCAGGCGGCCAAAATGGAAAAATTAATTAATTTCAAAGTGATAATGCATTTACAGCAACAATTAGAAATGTATAACTGTAGAAGGGCAACATTTAAAAGACAGATTACATTTAATAAAGTTGCACAAGAACATCCAATTGTAAAATTACTGATCTGCAACAATATTCCTTAAAGAGCCACTTAAAATAGCCCGACTCCGTGAAGGGTGACCTAATTACTGTAACTAAAATTACCGTGGTCACAGCAAGTCACAGCAAATAAAAAAGGGACGTTGATATTAGAATACTGCTGTTTAATGCTTAAGGGAGCTGGCCACAGCGGAGAAGGGAAGATGGGGTGTCCAAGCACAGTCTGGGCTGTGCTTCTTCCCTCCTTGACCTCTCTCAGTGGAAAGTACACTCCAGCAACACTCACGTCAGAGGGAAGACACTTTCTCTAAGGTGAAATGTAGATGGAGCTACAGGGCGGCATGAAGTAAGCACCAGCCACCTGGTAATGGACATTTCATTCACGGTGAGCTTCTTCATGAATAGGAATCCAGTTGACATGGGGTAGGAATGGGGATGCAACTACATGGCTTATGTCCAACAGCATGTTTTCATGGACACGGCTGAAGTGCAATTACTGTCCCAGGAACAATCAATTGCCTTACCACAAGTGTAGTAGAGTCAAGCCACCTACTTAGGACAGCACGTGACGGTGACCTTGCCAATCAGCCTACTTTTTCCTGCCAGTGAAAGTGACCAAGCCCAGATTTACACTCATGCTATTGCTGTCATGGACACACAGAGCCCCACGTGTTTATGACAAACTCACTGGCCATGAGTTTGACAAGTAAGTCCAAACCCCCATCACACTGCTTCATACACTGGGTAACACGGAACCTCAATGACTAAAAATTAACAAAAAGCTGATGTGCAAATACATTATTAGTGAGGATTTTAATAAGAATCTAAACTCAGATACATATTCCAAAATCTTCCTAATTCTTTTGCTTATCAAAAAAGAAAATACTTGTGGAATAAAAAAGGTGCTATAGTCCCAATTATGTAGGGATAGAAACATGGAAAGTTCTACGACTTCCTTGGAAATCAAATGTGCAGGTTGGATGCCATCAAATCAGGCTTTCTCTACCGAAATCTTTCTGACCTTTAATCTCCTTAGGCCTCTGGGACCAGACATAGAGCCCTCTTCTCTTCCTCCCCCAAAAACCTCCACTAGGGTCCTGCTTTATAGACTCCTTTAAGCCCCATGATGTTTGCCGTTTCCATCAGCAATAACCACACTTTGGAAAAGACCCTTCAGGACTCGAGGACTACAACAACAACAACAGCAGCAGCCATCTTGGCAAGAAATGCTGCACACTTATTACACAATAGGCACTGGGGCAGACACTGATTTAACTGTGTTCTCCACTATGGCAGCCACTCAGTTCATGTGGCTATTTTAATTAAAACCACTTGAAAGGAAAGCCAGTTAAAAATTTCAGTTCCTCAGTGGTGTTAACCATCTTTCAAAAATTCAACAGCGACATGTGGCCAGTGGCTACCACACAAGTCATCAGACTTACACTCATGGCAAAAATTCTATGTCCATGATTATAGATATTCTATCCATCACTGTCAGTCACTACAGCATCCTGTATCAGCACTGTGGTTGTAAGAAGCCCAACGCTGAAACCCAAAGTTGAGCCCAAGTTGAGACCCACATTCCTTACAGGCATAATTATTATCAAACAAAGTGTTGTGCAGAGTAATCCTACTCTTACTCAGTAATGAAAATGAAATAGTGGGGAAATTTCCAAACCCTGGGATCACGCAGGTGGTTTTTGCTCACCTATTTTCAGATATGAACTGTGCCCCGTGAGGTGGAGAACAATCTCCATAGCTCCTCACTTCTCCTTTCCTGATCCTAGGTATTCAATTCTGGAACGCATTTACTTTGTGTAAGCACTACTTGTGAGATTAGAATAAAAGATGCACTGCTGTATTTTTTCTAAGAGTTCAAAAGCTTTGTGTTACTGTTTTAAAAGCTACCCACAAACAGGAAGAATAGAGGCGGTAGGTGGGAGCAACTGCAGGAGAAGAAGGCCAACTGTACTCAGGAGCAGTGAGATCGGCTGGACGATGAAAGTCTGGCTTGTGCTACTTCTAAAAGCCAAACTGCATTTGGGGAAAGGTTAGGTTCTGTTGTGTAGATGTTCTGTTTCGGTGACTGAAATACCGGTCTTCATCAAGAGGGAAACATTTTCAAAGGTCTATGGTTTAGGAAAGTAGACCACTAGATATATTGTGTGAAATATATATTCTGCTTTCAAATGACTTTCTAAAACAATACTTTCATGGAAGAAGTTTGTAGACACCATTGATAAACAAACACCAAAAATGTAAAAGCCACATATTCATCTCTGTGAACACTTCCAAATCTAACCACATTAGAGTAGTACATCCAAAAAGATTCATCTTTGGGAATATAAAGAATAAAGACCATTGCAGCCACAAAGTCTCCTCCAGAAGGTGTTACAACAAATTCGCCACTAAAAGAAGAATCAAAACATCTGCTGCAGATTCTCTGTGAACACAAAGAAAACACACCTGCTAAAGATTCAAGCCACAGATCTGTATTTTTCACCTATTAACACGGAGTTCCCCAGTGGTGCAGGCACGGCAACAGATTTTAAACTTTTCTCAATCGAAACAGAAACACATCAAAAGAAAAATCATCACTTCCATCAGGACCTTCAGCTCTATTTCACATGATATTAAAAAAAAAAACCCACCTCTCCTATCCAGCCTTCCAAGACTTCTTTAGCGAACCCGACTCAATCTATAGCTGCAGCATGTGAGCTCAAGAGACGTTCTCCAAGGCCTGGATAGGCCTACGATGTGTGGTCAAGGGGACCAGGCCCCTGGTGACAAGGCCGGAGATATACGCAGCCCCGCGTGAGAGGTGCGCTGCAGGTGTGCAACACACGAGCAGCCGTCCACTTACCATGGACTTGGTGAATGGCCTCGCCAAGGTGAACAGCAGCGTCCACACCCACCAGCTTCGGTGAAGCGAGGAATACATCATGTTCCCCGGATGCACGGCGTTGGAAGTGACCCCACGCGGGGAGAGGCGGCGGTGCAGCTCGCTGGAGAACAGGATGTTGCAGAGCTTGGACCTGTTGTAGGCCAGCATGGCCCAGTAGTCGTTTTGTGATGGAGACAGGCGGCTAAAGTCAAGGTTTCCCGAGGTGTCATTAATATCTGTAAATCTGAAAGGCAGGAAATAGGACATGAGGCAACCAAGCTCTGACTTCTCACGTAGCTTTTTAAATTCATCACCAATCTCAAGAAACAATGTAGAGGCTGCTGAAAACTGAACCTGCATTGACCAAAACTATGCCTTTCAAAACAGACAAGGTGGCTTAACCAGGCCAAACAACTGGATCCAAACATGGACCTAGTCTAAGCCCACACTCACACATACAACAGCTTTAGCGTCCCGAGCCCCCCCCCCCCCCCGCCACGGCCCTCACATATATTTTTCAAAACCTTCAACGGGAAGTTCAAGGATAATTAAATTAAATGGGAAAGTACCTTAAAGAAAGGGCTGCTGCTTTTGGAAAAAGAATGGTATCACATTGCTAACCTTCAGTGGGGCTTCCCTGGATTATTTTAGCCAATGCTTGAGTCCTGTTATATTTTCATTTGAGCACACAAGTAAATACAGACGAGGCATGCTGCCTCCACCACTCTTTTCCAGATTAAAAATTAATGATGGTAGAGGGGTTACGACCTTGGTGAGGTGCCATCAATAGTCTTATACATTTAAAAGATAAATGTAAACAAAGCCAAAAGAGTGCTGGCAAAGCGTAATGGTTTTAAGTATACCCATGGCATGGAGGCACACAAATCAAAGTAGTTGATGTTTTATAATTGGGTCTGATGGAGTCGTTAAACACCAGCTGTTTGTTTCCCTTCCTTTCTTCCTTTCTTCCTTTTTCTTTCTTAAAAAAAAAAAAATAACAACAGAGTAGGCGGGATCCTAAAAAAATATTTGCATCATAACAAACAAAAAGGAATTTTCTAGATGGTCTGATCTGTGTCTAAGGACAACTCGTATTTTGCTTCATTAAATTAATTCTGGGCACTGGGCGATAAGAAACGTAATGAGACTACTCCAGAAAAATACTATGGAAAACAAAAAGCAAATGATAAAAGGAAACTTGCGGAACAATCTTCTAGTTCCTTTAGAGAAGCAGTTCAGGTGGGGTTAAAACCGAGAAAAGTGTCAGAGGGGCAGATGAAACCCCTGCTTTCATGGGAATTAAATAATTAAATGTCCCTTCTCGGGGATGTGGCTAATGATGTCGAACTTCTAGTGTTACATGACATTGCTGCTCTGAAGTCACCAACAAAGCTGATGGCCAGGCTGGTCAGCAAGGACACAGCAATGAGACCTTGGAGCTCATCGCAGTCTGCCCATCTGCAACTTCCCAAACCACAGGAAGGCCCAAACTTCTGAGCTTAACCGTCTCAGGCATGGAACTCAGTGGGAAATCTGAAAATTCTGTGAAGGAAACAATGACTGCTGGTGGAGGCCGGGATGGTGGGCGTCCTGCAATGCCAGTGGAGACTGGGCAGAAGGAAAGCCTGAGTCTAATTATCTGAGCCCCCAGCCAGTCTATCACATACACGCAGTTCTGCCATCTGTGAGTTTCCAGGGCTTCAGCGCAACCACTCTGCGGTCCAGGAGCGCTGCACTCTCAGGCACTGCGGGATTTTCTGGAGTGGGAAGCTGGACTCGCAGCTGGTGGCCCTGGAGCCGGCAGCGCCCCACACCTGTTGACGGCCATTTGTGTGAGTGTTCCACAGAGATGATTTACACACACATGCATGCACACACGTGCGCGCACACACACATGTGCATCCGATCATTTTCCCTGCAGTCCTGCCCAAGCAAGCACTACCATGTGGAAACACATGTTTCGTTTCACATTTATAGTTTCTTTGTATTACAGGTCTGGTATCATATTAAATTAAAAATGTGTTTGTACCGGGAATTTATATTATTTCTCAACTTTACTTCAACAGAGTAATAAGGTGCTAAAGAACACCTGTCAAAGACGGAGCTATTGGAAACTACCTCCTCGGGTCGAAAGGAACATCCAGGATTTAGACAATACCTAAAAGATATGGGGTGACTATAACACGCTTCGCTCCCATCGTCTGTCTTCCCTTCACTAACTATAGACAGAAGCCCTTTCCGGCAGTCATGTAGACAAACCCAGCCCAGAAATTCCTTCTCCCAGGAAGCTCTCCTAACTCCCCAGCTAAATGTCAGTGGTTTTCTTGGTGGTGGTGGTGGTGAACAGATTGAAAGAAGTGATGCAAAGCAGATAGAAATACACTTTTCCATGAAAAATCAAGCATCCACTTTCCAGATCCCATCTGTGATATCATTGGTAGATTCCCATAAAGATGCTGGCCCTCCAAGGTCAGATTAGAATTCCAAACTAAGGGGAAATTTCCTTTATTACAAAAAGTCTTGCTTTGAGACTTGAAAGGCAAAATTTTTTCAAATCCTCTAGGTTCTATAATATTTGCATGCTGCACTTTTCTGATTTTATTTTAGAATAAGTCCCCTGCTTTTGCTTTTAAGGCTGAAACAGAAGGAGCACATGACGGGGGAACACAGGTAGAACCTGGGCAGGAAGCCACTGTGCAGATCTCCTGAGCTCGGAAGGACAGTCCTTGGGGGAGCACTAAGGGTAGGCACACTGCAAGTCTGTGAGCGGAGGCAGGCCTTCCAGACACGTGACCAGGTCATCTCTCTGCTCAAGAGGCAATAAACAACTCCTAAAAGGCTGCCTGCTCTATTTTCAAGTTGAGAAACTGACAAAGCCAAACACTAGGGTCTTAATAGAATCATGCCTTGTCGGTACACTAAAATGCCATATTTCCTCTCTGGACACTAGCACTTGCTCTGTGAGAGTCTGCCAATCCTACATTTCCATACATTCTAGCTTTCATTTTCTTTTGAACTAAGGGGTTCTTAAATTCCCAAACTACAATAATTAGGATGGATTCTATATAGACACCAGCTAGCACATTTAAAGAATAGGATAACATGTGCATGACATTTCATGTGTGTGTATGAGTGCGCATGTAGGATTATTACATGTGAAACTGTGTGTACAAGAGTCTGACACTCAACACAGCTGCAGCTTATTCAGAGCTGTTCGGCCAGTGCACTGCTCTTTTCGTTCTATTTTAATTGTTATCTGAAAAATTTTCACAGCAAGGAAGTCGAGTTCTCATTTCAACATGATATATTTTAGATGGGCAGAAACTCAATTCACTTGCTCAGACTCCAGATAAGTAACTAAAGCACAGTGAAGACACAGGGAGGCTAATAAATATTTTGCCTAGGGGCAGCCTAGTATAATATTTTCTGCAAACATAGAACTTTATTTTTCCCCTAACAGGGGGTCTTGACTCCAATGAAGAGATTTCGCCAAGGTTTATGGAGGTAATTAGATATCAACACTTGCGTTTTACAACTTGGTTTAGGACTCCGGGTCCTTGAGTCCTGAGCTGCCCCAGTGTACAGCTCGCTCTCAGGGGCAAGACATACAGTGCAAGTGTAATAAACAAGCCAGCTTGAAGGAATTAGCATTTTGTAGAAACACGCCTTAAGAATGTGTGAAGGATAACTGGGAAAAGGGATACCAGACAGAAGTGGGCCTGGCCGCACACTTCAGGAAGGCCTTGTCCGCAAGCTAAAACGCGTCTAATTCGGGAGGCCAAGGTACTGCCTTCCAAATTCATCTTTTAAATGAAATTAAGATTCCCATCTCCAAGGTAGGCATGAATTACACAGCAGTTAAGGTGAGAACAAAGATGTCACATCAAGTAGCATTTGAGGTACAGATTTACAAAGGGACGCGAGCAGCTGACAACCTGACATAATCTCCCATTAAATACCAGCTCATTTAAACAGATCCCGTGGTGGCCTCCACATCTGGCAGACGATTGGCTCTGGCAGATTTATTTCCAGAGCTCTCTCTCCTGCCTGCCCCCATGGTAGCCTCCCTCGCTCCTTAACAGGCCACTCCACTTTCTTTCACGAACCTGGTGTGATCTGCAAAGATAAGGCTGTCCAGATTTTGTTACCACCTAATTACCAGATGAGTCATGTCTTTTCACACGGAGGGGGATTATTACTGGCATTTTCCTTTCATTTCAGCCATCATAAATTTAAAATGGTAAAAGTAAATCTGTCTGTAGTGTGTCACTTACACCATAAGCCCCTGTGTTTGGGAGTGATAAAGGGTTCAAGCTAACCCTCGGCTGGTCTCTCCCTTCCAAGTAGCGGGGGTTACACTTTATGGAAGTATGATTAAAAAAATAAGCTTCATTCTGGGTCACCAAAACATTTCAGGACTTAAGACAAAGAAGAAGAAGAAGAAGAAGGTGGAAAAATAGGCCTGTGCACACTATTTTATTTCCAGCTACTCTGCTACAGGGAGAAAGCTTCTCCCAACCCCCACACCAAGGAAACCGGAAAGGAAATCTCCCAAACAAGTATTAAAACCAGCCTCACCCACCCGGCAAGTCCTTTGTCTTTTCTGAGTGCTTCTCTTTAGACAAACAGTTGTTTATCCAACTCCAGAAACAAATATGCTGAAAATACGATGAAATTTTCAAATGTCTTTTTAGTCAATTGAATATGCTCCTAATGGTAATAGAAGAGAAGTGCCATCTGATGTTTTAATTGAAATTTTAACCAAAAGAGGCACGGCCAGATTTCTAATATGTTCTAACTACAGTACTTCCCTTTCCACAATTACACAGCTAATGCCTGCATTGAATTCCCTAATTTCTCATTATAAAACAATTGGATTTCATCTCACAGTCTTTAATTGCATTGTTTCTCCTGCTAGAATAACTGCACATTCTTCTTGGTAAGATGTTGAAGTTGTTGAATTACAAATCAATAAAGGTCATGCCATTCAGATTTAATCAATTATTATTCCATCTCTAAGCAAAATCAATGAGAAGTTTGAAGTATAGTTGTGAAAACATCGCACATTGCTAGAGACAGTTCCCCCAAACAATACCCGCAATCACACGCACAAAAAGACCAAGAGAAATGAAGGAAGCAGGTTGCATACACTCAGGCTTCTCTGAGTACTGTAGGCCTAATCAGAGTTCTTTCCAGCAACAGGGCCCTGCAGGAGGGGGAGATGAGGCATTGGTGAAAAGCCTTCGATCCACACCCACCTATGGGACTCGGAGGACACCACGACGACACGGGCAGGGGCCGAGCGGCACAAAACATCCTGCAGGAGCTGGACCAGGTAGAAGTGGCCCAGGTGGTTCACCTGGAAGGTGGTCTCCAGGCCATCTTTTGTGAGGCTCCAGGGAATACCAAAAGCCGCAGCGCTGCACACAAGCACATGAAGAGGCCTGGAAGATAAAACATCCCGTTATGTGGAGCTCAACACTTCCACGACCAAGAGTGAGAACCGCTGCCCCAGGAAGAACTGTCGCTTCACTGTCTCTTCACTTCCAGACGCGGATCTGTGAATGAGATCCCAAGATGGAGGTGAGGATCTGAATGGGCAACTGCCCTACAATGCTGGTGACCAGGGTTTCCGGGGATACAGGGCTTTGGGTGCTGAAGTGAGGACAGTACTAGGCAAACCGGGATGAGCCGGTCTCCCCAGCCAGAGCCTAGGTTCTACACTTACTAAACTGCATGCATCCTAATCCACTCAGGTCTCATCTCACACCTCTCTAATCAAAACAGCCTTTCAAGTACTTTCAAATAGACATGAAAAATAAGGAGAAAATATCCTATAAAAAAGGCTGACACAGGACCAGCACTTAGTAGGAGCTAAGTAAACATAGTGGGAGAGAGAGCTCTGTCTGAATAGATACACACAAACTGATCGAATATATAATTTTTAGGGGTCAAATTAAATATACATGTTAAAAATGAGTTTGAGGATGGGTAAGTAGAAGTGTATATAAAATTCCCTCTTCTTTGATTTATATTTAATCTGTTTCCTAATATATAATTTTAACTACTATGCTTTCCAGTGAGAAGAAATCCTAAGCGCTCATGAAAAACTGTGCTTAAGTGAAACTATCCTGATAAACAAATAAGAATTGTACAATTAAATATTTTCAAGGCTATCTACAATATTTGTAATTACAACATAAAAGTAACACATTAAAAATGAACTAAATATACAATAGAGAAATCATTAAATGAAGTAGAATATATCCATGGTAGCATAATATGAAGCCATTAAAATTGTAGCAATTCTATTTTGTTTTATAAAACATTATAAAGCCAACATGTAATATGGTAGAATCACATATGGGCATAAACAGCCACAGAGAACAGGAACAAAAAGAATGGCAATGAAGGAAGGATACACAAAAATGTTAAAAGGCCCTAGAGGCTGGTGGAAACCAAAGTGTCCTACATTATCTTCTTTAGGAACTTACCTGTATTTTCTTCATTTTTCTGCAACTAACATGCATTATAATAAGGAAATGCTTTTTTGTAATAAGAAAAACACACAAATACCAAAAAAATTTAAAATGGAGGAGGAGGAGAAGGAGGAGGAGGAGGAGAAGGAGAAGGAGAAGGAGAAGGAGAAGGAGAAGGAGGAGAAGGAGAAGGAGAAGGAGAAGAAGAAGGAGGAAGAAGAATTATTATTATTATTATTTCAGGAATTTAGCTAAAATATTTAACAACAGTAAAAAAAAATACAAGATTGGCTTGTACAGCTGCACTGAAGTAAGAGTTCAAAGATCTGCATTTTTGCCTAGTCTTGGATACTCGTCCAAGACCTCTGAGCTTCTGACTTTTGTCTCTAAAGTGAGGTGCAGGAAACTGATGGAGCTCAGTTTTCTTCACATAGCTGTAAGACAATGGCTCTGTAGGTGACATCTCCTCTGCAGTATGAGAAAAGAAAACCTTTCCTAAACTTTCATCTGAAAACATCCAGTGATCTTTTCACAGATACTTTTCAAAGAGTGATTACTATTTGAAACAGGTGGACTCTGTCTCCATCCTCATGAAATAAAAGTCACTTTTTTTTTGAGAAAAGCAAGCAAACACTGGTATTCAATAAAGGAGATGATAAAGAAAAGTTGATACAAAATTAAAATAATCTGTTATTTAAAAAATAAAAACAAATGGCCAAATATATGCAATAATAAAAAGAACCCATGTTTTTGTTACATAGTTACTACAAACCAGTAAGAAAAACACACTCTAAACAGAAGTATGTGCAAATTTTTAAATTTTGTAAAACTAAATTATAAATAAGCAATGGAAGACCACACAGTCTAGGAGAAGCAAAAATTTAGATAAATTCTATGTATAAAATTGGGAGATTTATTTCTATGTCGTTACCATTCTTAAAGCTGGTGGGAATATATATTTCGGCAGCTTGGACATCACGTTGAAAATGTCTAACAGGAGAATAGCAAAGATTCCCCTTAGTTTACCCAGGAATCCTGCTTCCAAGCACGGAGATCCTGGAAGCAGGGCAGAAGGAACAGCAACACCAAGAAGGAGGAGTATTTCATCATTAATGTCACTTAGAATTGCCAATGCATGATTATAGCAAAAAGCAGGACAACGTTTAGGCAGGTTTTGTATTCCTGGTTTTAATTCTCTGCACACACCAAGGTCCCTCTGTAATTGCACATGAGCCACATGACTCCCACAACCCCCCCCACCCCCACTATGCCGCTCCTCCTGTTGTGGGATGGAAGGTGGATTCCAAAAGATAGGTCCACTGCAAACCTGTGCATGGGACTTTGTACGAGAAGAGCATTTGCAAATGTAATTAAATTGAGAATCTCGAGATGAAATCATTCTGGATTAAGGAAGGCCCTGAATCCAATGACAAGTGTCCTTTCAAAAGAAGAGAAGGTGAGAAGATGCACAGAGAAAGAGATGTGAGGCAGAAGCAGAGAGGAGTGAAACACGGATAAGCCAAGGAGCACCAAGGATGGGTGCCAGGAAGGAGAAGCAAGGACAGGGGCATGAAATGGACTCTTCCTCACACTCTCCAGATAGAATCAACCATGTAGACTCCTTGACTTCAGACTTCTGGGTTCCAAGATGGTCAGAGACCAAATTTCTGCTGTTCTAAGCTATTCAATTTGTGGTAATTTCTTACAGCAGCCTTAGGAATCTATAGAGCTTCCAAGATACTTTCCTAAAGAAATATCCAAAATTCGTATAAATTATACACTTAAAGACAAATGAGGCGGCGCCCGCCGGCGGGGACAAGAAGGTCATCGCAAGGAAGGTTTTGGGAACAGTAAAATGGTTCAATGTAAGAAACAGATATGGTTTCATCAACAGGAATGACACCAAGGAAGATGTATTTGTACACCAGACTGCCATAAAGAGGAATAACCCCAGGAAGTACCTTCGCAGGGTAAGAGATGGAGGGACTGTGGAGACTGATGTTGTTGAAGGAGCAAAGGGTGCGGAGGCAGCAAATGGTACAGGCCCTGGTGGAGCTCCAGTTCAAGGCAGGAAATACGCAGCAGACCGTAACCATTATAGACGCTATCCACGTCATGGGGGTCCTCCACCCAATTACAGCAGAATTACCAGAACAGTGAGAGTGGGGAAAAGAATGAGGGATCGGAGAGCGCTCCTGACGGCCAGGCCCAACAACGCCGGCCCTACCGCGCCGCCGGCGAAGGTTCCCACCTTACTACATGCGGAGACCCTACGGGCGTCGACCACAGTATTCCAACCCTCCTGTGCAGGGAGAAGTGATGGAGGGTGCTGACAACCAGGGTGCAGGAGAACAAGGTAGACAAGTGAGACAGTATGTATCGAGGTTTTAGACCACGATTTCGCAGGGGCCCTCCTCGCCAAAGATGGCCTAGAGAGGACGGCAGTGAAGAGGTGAAGGAAAATCAAGCAGATGAGACTCAAGGTCAGCAGCCACCTCAACGTCGGAACAGCCGCAACTTCAGTTACCGACGCAGACGCCCAGAGAACCCTAAACCACAAGAGGGCAAAGAGACAAAAGCAGCCGACCCACCAGCTGAGAATTCGTCCGCACCCGCTCCCGAGGCTGAGCAGGGAGGGGCTGGGTAAATGCTGGCTTAACATCTCTACCATCATCCGGTTTAGTCACCCAGCAAGAAGAAAGGAATATGAAATTCCAGCAATAAGAAATGAACAAAAGATTGGGAACTGACGACCCCAAGTGCTTGCTTTTTGCCCACTGACCAGATAACTAGAACTATCTGCATTATCTATGCAGCATGTGGGGTTTTTATTATATTTACCTAAAGACGTCTCTTTTTGGTAATGACAAACGTGTTTTTAAAAAAAAATTTCTCAATAAACCTTTAAAAGTTTTTAAATTGTTTCATATCTGGTCAAGTTGAGATTTTTAAGAACTTCATTTTTAATTTGTAATAAAAATTTACAACTTGATTTTTTCAAAAAAAGTCAACAAACTGCAAGCACCTGTTAATAAAAGTCTTAAGTAATTGTCCAAAAAAAAAGACAAATGATAATTACATAAAATGAACTAAAAGTATAAAACTACATATAAACTAGAAGGAGCCTAATATCCAGCAAAAGGAGAATGGATACATGAGCAATGATTAAACCGGAAGTTCCAAAGTTTCTCAATTTAATGAATAAAAACAGGAAACAGGGCCTGGGATTTAGGTCAGTGGTCCCGACACCTGCCTCACAAGCGCGAGGTCTGAGTTCAATCCCCGGTACCCACCCCCCCTTAAAAAAACAAAACAAAACGAAAAAAACGGGAAACTGAGTTTTGTACAAGTAGCTATGAACTTTTAAACCTTCCCTCCAAAAGGGATTTTTTTTAAATACAATCAGCAAGGAAGAAAATACAGAAAAAAATGTTAGCTCTGAGTACACAAGAGATCATAAGATTGTTTCTTTTGATTTTTTTGCACTTCCCTACTATTCAACAATAAGCATGAATTAATTTATTTACTGAGATATAATTCCCATACTATACCACTTACCTAAAATGTATAATTCAATAGTTTTACTATATTGACAGTTGTGCAACCGTCTCCAGTCTAATTTTACATTTTCATAAAAATTAATATTTACTGTCCAGTTTCCACTTACACAACATCATTAATACATGTTCTGTACTATAGACTCATTTTTCTGAACTTTTCATAGAAATAGAATCATACAATTTGTTGTCTTTTGTGACTGTCTTCTTGGTGTAATGTTTGCAAGGTTCAGCCAAAAAGTAGGATGTGTCAGTACTTCGTTTTTATGACCAAAGAATATTCCACTGTATGGATAGATCCCATTTTCTTTATCCATTCACCAATTGATGGAGATTTGCTGTTTCTACCTTTTGTTTATAGTGTATATTTCTGCTATCAACATTCATTTGCAAGTTATTGGAAATGAA